TCCTGGAGAAGCCATGGGGAGCTTCAGCCAAAGCATTTTCCTGGAGGAAAATCAGCCATGAGCTTAAGGGAATAACAGTTTTTGATGGCACAAGGTGGTGGGGAATAGGGCAGGGAATCTCTAGGATGTGTCTTAAGCTTTGAGTTTAAGGACTTGGGGATCCCAGTTGTTCCTATCTTTCCCACTTTTTTTTTTTTTTTTTTTCCCCCAGTGCTCCATGCTCACCAGTTCCTGCAAAATGAGTATGCCCTCAGCCTGGTCTCCTGCAAGCTGGGAAAGGATCCCAACACCTACTTCATTGTGGGCACTGCCATGGTGTATCCCGAGGAAGCAGAGCCCAAGCAGGGCCGGATCGTCGTCTTCCACTACTCCGATGGTAAGAACAAGGTGTTCTCACCTGGAAAAATCCAGCTTTTTTGGTGGGAGATCAGGGATGAGCTCCTCAAACCCCAGAGAGCTTGTGTCACAGGAGCAGATAGTTTTTCCCAAGGAATCTGTTGTCAGGATCTGTAGATGCTGTGTTTCCTATCTCCTGTCTCCTAGAGGCACCCAAGAATCCCTTACCAGCCCCAGATTGTGGGATTTACTTTCCATGTCACTTGTCCCCCTCAGAGACAGTTTTTTAGGAAGCAAAATTCAAGCCAGCTTGGTTTGAACCCCCCTTGACTTCCCACTCTTTGGATAAACAACCCAAGTAATGCCTGGCTTTATTCCAGGGAAGCTGCAGAGCCTGGCTGAGAAGGAGGTCAAGGGAGCTGTGTATTCCATGGTGGAATTCAACGGGAAGTTGTTAGCCAGCATCAACAGCACGGTAGGCAAGGCCCTGACTTTTTTTCGGGAGTGTGCTTGGGGATCTGGATGTCAGCCAGATGTCTATTGAGGAGCATATCCCAGCTCCCGTGTGGAGAATCCCAATCCATGTCCCATCCCACAGGTCCGTCTGTACGAGTGGACAGCGGAGAAGGAATTGCGCACGGAGTGCAACCACTACAACAACATCATGGCCCTGTACCTGAAAACCAAGGGGGATTTCATCCTGGTGGGAGACCTCATGCGCTCCGTGCTGCTCCTGGCCTACAAACCCATGGAAGGGAATTTCGAGGAGGTACGGAAGCGGTGCCAGGCATCAATTCCGACAGCTCTGGGCACAGGGAATGGTGTTGGAGGGGATAAATGGAGGAGTTTGGCTTGACTGGATAAGGTTTGACATGGATCCCTGTGGTTTCTGGAGGAATGGATCCCTCAGTTTCCAGGGAACTGGCTGTGGGAAGAGCAGCTGGTGCCTGGTGGGTGGGAGGTGCCATCTGGGATGCCTGGTGTCCACTTGGAATGGGGGTTTAAATTGCTCGAGTGGTTTTGGCATAGGCTGCTCTACGCTTTCTCAGGATGTTATCCAAGTGCCACTTGGACTAGGACCATCTCCAGGAGTGCCTTTCCTGCTCAGCTGCTTCCTGGAGCAGAGAGGGACATGCTGGATCCCACCTTGCTCCTGAATATTGGTGTTGGGTGGGATGAGGATGTAGGATCCCAGGCCAGGCCACCTGGACACAGCGTGTCCCTTCTTGGCCCCTTCCAGATTGCCCGGGATTTCAATCCAAACTGGATGAGTGCCGTGGAGATCCTGGATGATGATAATTTCTTGGGAGCGGAGAACGCTTTCAATCTGTTCGTGTGCCAGAAGGACAGGTAAACTGGATGAGATGGATTGGGAATGGGATGGGGCGGGATGGGATGGGATGGGACAGCATGTGCTGGGAGGGATGGGATGATGGGATGGATCTTCAGGAAAACTGGACGAGCATTCCCAGCTTTTGGGAGCAAGGGAAAGTTTGGAGTGCCTCTATCTGGGACTGAGTGGTGTTTGGGATTCCAGCGCTGCAACGACAGATGAGGAGCGGCAGCACCTGCAGGAAGTGGGATTATCCCACTTGGGAGAGTTCGTCAATGTCTTCTGCCACGGATCCCTGGTCATGCAGAACTTGGGAGAGACTTCCACGCCCACCCAGGGATCCGTGCTCTTTGGCACTGTCAATGGAATGATCGGTAAGGAGCAGGGGCTGAGGATTCCCTGCAGAATCCTGGAATGGTTTGGGTTGGAAAGCTCATCCAGCTCCACCCCCTGCCACATTCCCATGACCGTTATTCCTGTGCAGGCCTGGTGACATCCCTGTCGGAAAGCTGGTACAACCTGCTCCTGGACATGCAGAACAGGCTCAACAAAGTCATCAAGAGCGTGGGGAAGATTGAGCATTCCTTATATCCTTTAGCATTCCAGCCAGGAACTTGTGATGGGCGGAGTTTACCAGCTGGAGAGGGTGGGAGCGGGTTTGCCATTGCCCTGAGCAATCATGGAATTAAAGATGGGAAATCCCTCTGAGACCACAGAGTCCAGCCATTAACCCAGCACTGCCATCCCACCATTAACCATGTCCAGGGTGTTATTCCCTGTGGATTTGGCTCCTTGACAGCAGCACCTGGAGATCGTTCCACACCGAACGGAAGACGGAACCAGCCACAGGATTCATCGATGGAGACTTGATCGAGAGTTTCCTGGACATCAGCAGGCCCAAGATGCAGGAAGTGGTGGCAAACCTGCAGGTGAGCTTGGGAATGTGGCCTTGGATCCTTCAAGGATCTTGCTCAGGAATCCAGGCTCAGTAAATCATGGAATTGTAGGGTTATGGAATGGTATGGGTTGGAAGGGACTTAAAGACACCTCCCACTGGACCAAGTTGCTGCAAGCCTTGTCCATCCTGGCCTGGAACACTTCCAGAGGTGGAGAAGCCACAACCTCTCTGGGAAGTGCTGAATCCACACCTTTCTGAATGATCTGGAAATGTTTTTTGGCACCTCCCAATGTCTCCAATGCCTTTTCCTCCCTGTGCAGATCGACGATGGAAGTGGGATGAAGAGGGAAGCCACCGTGGATGACCTGATAAAGATCGTAGAGGAGCTGACCCGGATCCATTAGCAGGATTTGGGATTGTTCCCTTCCCCTACCCTCCACATGGAGCAAGAGAATCCTTCCCCAGCTGTGCCCAACACTGGCAGCAGCGGCCGGAGGGGGACGGAATCTCACACGGGAAGCAGTTTTTTTAGGAATCTGGGGAGGTGTCAGTCATCTCCTGCTGGGATTCACGAGTTCTGTGGAATTGGCTGGGCCCAGAACTTTCCTTGGGTGATCCACTGTGATCTGATGCCCTTGCCTCGATTCCCTTTTCCCTGGTGTCGTTAGATATTTTATTACTGTTTTTGGCTTTTGGTTTCGCTTTTGATCCTGGTTTTTTCTTTGATTCCTTGTGGTTTTTTGGAAGAGGAATCAAAGCTGAGGAGCAGCTGAGGCTGGAGCCGAGCGGGATAACTCTCCATAGGATCCATGCCTTGCTCAGGGAGGGAGGTTCTGGGAAGTTTAAGCTGTTGCTGGTTTCAGAGTTTTGCCAAATAAAGTAGTTCACAAGGAAAGATCTGTGTCCTGAGGAATGATGATATCTGTGTCCTCGGCTCTGGGATCTTGGGGACACCTCTTTTTCAGGTGCATTTTTCTGGCTTTTATTGGATTTGTAGGACATTTTAATTCGTTGCCTGGTTGCCAGTGGCACTGTGAGTGCCTTGAGAGGCAGATTGTAGTGGAATTTTTTGGGAAAGCTGGATTTTCCAGCCTCTGGCTAGTCATTAATAGTTCTCGTGGTCTCCCACCTCCTTTACATCTCTCATGGAATTTGGGGGTTATCCTGGATTTTACCATGTTCTCCACAGCCTGGATCTCCCCTGTAGCCCTTGGTTAAGTGAGCCCCAAGTCCCATTCCATGTAGGTTTTTCCCAAATCCTTCCCTCCCAGAGACAGCTCGTGCTGGAATCATCCCTGGCTCCTGCTTCCATCCCATATTTTCAGAGGAGACCACGGGGACAAGGCTATATTTGGACATCTCTTCCGAGAGCTGGGGGAGCAGGGATTGACCTTGGACTCTGTGCTGCTGCCTTTATTACCTCAGGCTCTGTTTACCTGCCTGGAGCAGCCTGTTCCCAAATTTTGGGAGGCCCAGGAAGCAGCACAGCCCGGGTCCCAGCAGCGCTCTTTTTTCCCACCAAAACGGGGGGTGGTGGTGCCAATGCAGTGTTGGCACCCTGCTTTTTTTGGGATAAATGTGCTGCTGGCTAGGGTTGGATCATTGTTTATCCACTGCCACTGGAGCTGCTTCCCAGGGATTTGGGATCATATTCCCTTAGGACAGGAGCTTCTCATGGCTGCATTGGGTTCCTAAAAAACCAGCGTGACATCCCCCCCACCATGGTTTTTATTTGGAAGGGGGCTGTGTCTTCCTGGGTGATGCCAACCCTTGGGCAGAATTTTGTGGGGAGAAATCCATGCTGGACTGAGAATTTTGGAGGCAGCAGCGCCTTTTGCTCCATGGGATCAATCATTTACCTGCCTCCGACCTTCGCTTCATTCCCTACCCTGGGATGGGGGCACGGGGCTGGGGGGAATCGGGGGGTCACCAGAGTGGGGTGTCCCGCAGCATCCCTCTCCCTCTGGATGCATCCCACCATCCCGGCTCCACTTGGCCCCTTTCTCCGCCGCGTGGGTCCCCGTGCAGGGCTGGGAAGGCGGCCCAGCGCCTCCAGGAGAAGGAGGAGGAGGAGGAGGGGTGGGGAGAGGCCATGCCGGATCTTTGCCAGATGTGGGAAAGGAGAGAAGGGGGGACGCCTTCCCCGCTGCTTCCCAAACCTAGGGGGGACCCCGTTCCCCGACGCGCAGCCAGGGCAGGAATGGCCGGGATGCCACCACTCGCCCCAGTTGAACGGGACAACCTTGGGGTGACCCCAGGCCCCCCGTGTGGGTTTGGGGGGGGTGGGTGGGTGCCGCTGGTGACCCCCCCCGCTCTCGCCCCCCTCCAATCCCGCATTGTTCCCGGCTCGGCGGGAGGAGGAGGAGCAGGGCCAAGGGCCAGCGGGAAGGCAGGCGGGAAGGCGGGCGCCGGGACGTGCTGGAGCCGCCTGTCATGTTGGTGGAGCTGCTCTTCCAGGCTGCCTGTGTGTCCCTGTTCCTCTCCAGCGGCCAGGGCAGGGTGTATCCCGCGAGGAAGAAGCCGGCCAGCTTTGCCGTGGAGAGGTAGCTGGATTCCCCTTTTCCTTCTCCCTCTTCCAGCTACACCTGGGATGGGCAGCCTGCCGAGCCCCGGCTGTCCCTGCCTCCCGCTGCAGGAGGGCTTGGCCGGAGGGGTCCCAGCCGGAGGGGCTGGCACCCCACAATTCCCTCCCTCTTCCCGGGTCCAGGGGAGCATGACACTGCTCCCCTCATCCCTGTCTTGCTCCCTGTATCCCTGTCCAGCCGGGGGGCGCTTCTCCCGTCACCACGTGCTGGGATGTTCAGGATGGGTGGGAAGTGGTTGTCCCCTCTCTGTCCCACCTTATCCTACCTTCCTCTGATCCGTGCCATGCTCTGCTTCCTGGTACCCGGGCACATCCTGACCGTTGTGGGTGTCCTTCTGTCCTCACATTCCTGGGACCTTTGCTCCATGCAGGGGGCTCAGGACAGGGTGGCCTCAGGCTCTGGTGTCCCACAGGCGCCGCGTGGGGCCCCACGTCTGCCTCCCAGGCTCCGGCAGCGGATGTTGTCCTGGCTGGATGCTGTCTCCGGGCAGCGGGAAGTGCACCCTGCGTGAGTACAGGGGTCTGGGGGGCTCGTGGGGGTCCTGTTCCCATTCCCAGAGCTCCTGTTCCCTTTCCCACAGCGCTCTGCTCCTTCGGCTGCGGTGGTGGTTCCTGCATTGCTCCCAACCTTTGCATGTGCCCAGATGGAGAGCAGGGAATCACCTGTCCAGGTACTGAGAGAAGCGGCTATGCCGGGTGCCTTTCCCTCTCCACACCATGAATCCCAAGGGATGGAGATGGCCACGAACCCATGGGCACCGTGCCCAACCCTATTCCCTCTCCATGCCACAAATCCCAGCAGATGGAGGTGACCGTGGCTCCTTGTCACTCTCTCCCTGGCACTGTCCCCATCCCTGGGGGATCCATGGAGTGGCATGGGAAGCGGGTGGTCCTGGGGTGGCATGGGTACCCCGTGGATGCCACGTCCATGTTCCAGAGCCACCGGGGACTTGCGGAGAGTACGGCTGTGACCTGTCCTGTAACCACGGCGGCTGCCAGGAGGTCGCCCGCGTGTGTCCCATTGGATTCTCCATGGCCGAGACAGCCAACGGCGTCCGCTGTACCGGTGAGTGGGAGTGGTATATCCTGATGGGAGTGGGCATCCCCGTGGGGCCCACACCCCAAATCTGACCGTTCCCTGTGTCCCCCTAGACATCGATGAGTGCCAGAGCGCAGCCTGCGAGGGGACGTGCGTGAACACGGAGGGCGGCTTCGCCTGCGAGTGCGGAGCCGGCCGGGAGCTCTCTGCTGACCGCCGCAGCTGCCGGGGTGCGTGGGGTCCCAGGGGGGCGGCTGGGGCTCCCGAGGGATCCTGACCCTCATCCCAACCCCCAGACACAGATGAATGCCAGGCCACACCGTGCCAGCACCGCTGCGAGAACAGCGTGGGCAGCTACCGCTGCTCCTGCCGGCCCGGATACCACCTCCATGGGAATCGGCATTCCTGCGTGGGTGAGCACCGGGATGGGGCTCTTCCCATCACTCCCGGGGGATGGAGGTGGCCCTGAGCCCCTGAGCATTGTGCCACACCCCCTTCCCTCTCCATGAATCCCAAGCAATGGAGGTGGTCACTGAGCCCCTGCATGTATGCTTAACCCTTATCCCTCTCCATGCCATGAATCCCAAGGGATGCAGGTGGCCATGAGCCTGTGGGCACTGTGCCAGACCCCTTCCCTCATTATGCCACAAATCCCAAGGGTGTCCATCAGCCCATGACCACAGGGCTGCCACCTCATCCTCATGCCTGTGTGGGTCATGCTGAGGGCCCATCCAGGTGCTCCTGGCTCTTTCCTGGGCCACATCCCAGGGTGCAGCACCTCCTGCCACATTCCCTTATCCCACAGATGTAGATGAGTGCCGGCGGCCTGGCACGCGCCGCTCCTGCCAGCACAGCTGCCACAACATTCCTGGCAGCTTCCGCTGCTCCTGCCGCCCTGGATACCGGCTCAGCGCGGACAGGGTGTCCTGCGAAGGTATCCGTGTCCTTCTCCTGGCTGGAGGAGCAGAGTGGGATGCTCCCATCTCACTGCCAGCCCCAAGTGATGTCTCTGCCTTCCTGATTTCCTTCCTAGGGTACCCCAAATCTATCCTGGCCCCGTCGCCCATCCTGCAATCCCTGCAGCATCCACCCACCCTTGTCCTGCTCCCTCCTGGCTCCCACCTGCTCCCAAGAGGCTCCCCCTCTCCCCACCTCCCTGTGGCAGCTCCTGGTACCCAATTTCCTCCCTCCTCCCCATCCCTGTTCCCTGAGCCATCCCCACGTGCCATGGGAGCCCCCAGCACCTCCATCCCACCATCCCATCATTGTTGGCACCGGGGAATCTCTCGGGAGCCCAGCAGTCGCTGGACAGAGCCAGGCTGCCAGAGCTGCACCTGTCAGGTGAGCATCCCATCCTCCCACTCCTTCCCATGGCACCATCCCGACCTGGCATGAGCCACCACGTGTCCTGGCAGGGGGGACGAGTCCTCTGTGACACCGTGAGCTGCTCCGTTCCCTGCTCCCATCCGCTTCCTGCTCCGGCTGGGGGTTGCTGCCCCACCTGCACAGGTGAGTCCTGACCCCCTGATCCCCCCAATTCCTAGGATGGCCCCCCTTGAATTCCCAGGGGGACGCCCCTGACCCCCATGGCTTGCAGGGTGCCTGCACGAGGGGGTGGCCAGGGCCGAGGGCGATGTCTTCTCCCCATCCGATGGGAATTGCACCATCTGCGTCTGCTTGGTGAGCTGGATTGGGATGGGAGAATCCCCCCTCATCCCTGGGAACCTCCCAGCACTGGAGACCCTTATCCCTGGGGACCCTGATCCTGCATCCTGGCTCAACCATGGATTGGGATGCTCTGGAGCTGATGACACCCTCTCCTCATCCTTCCATGGGGAATCAGGGTCCTCTTTCCCAACCCATGTTCCCCTCCACAGGCCGGGAATGTCTCCTGCCTCTCCCCGGAATGTCCCCCAGGAACCTGCCCCAGCCCCTCTCTGGCTGACTGCTGCTCCTGCAATCCAGGTGATCCCAGGACCCCTAGTTTGGGGGAGTGAGTACCCCCGGGCTGGGCTGGGGGTTAGGGAAGAGCCGTGCTTGGCTCTCCAGCGCCGCTCCTTCCCCTTTTCCCAGAAAAGTGCAATTTCCGGGGACGCACATATGCGCACGGAGCCCGGTTCAGCCTGGATGGGGACGACTGCACCACCTGTGTCTGCCAGGTGGGTCCTGGATGTCCCCAGGGATGAGGATTCCCAGGGATACTCCAGTGCTTCCCAGCACCTGCTGGGGGCATCCGAGCTTCGCTCGGGGTTGGTGGTAGGGACAGCAGGTGACCCATTCCCGTGTTCCCAGGGAGGAGAGGTGGAATGTTCCTTCACTCCCTGCCCCATGCTGGATTGTCCCCAGCACCAGCGGCAGCTGGGTCCCGGGCAGTGCTGCTCCACCTGCCGGGACCCTCCAGCCCCTGCCGGTGAGTCGGGATGAGTGACACACCTGGGAATGGGCAGGGAGGGACAGGGAGAGGGATGAGGGGGAAAAGCTGGGGGAGACGGGAATGGCATGGCATGGGAAGAACAGCTGGGATAGAGGATGTGGGGGACACTTGGGGATGGGGAGAGTGGGATGTTGGGACATTTGGGGATGGGATGTGGGGAAGGGTAGAGTGGGATGAGGGGGGGACAGCTGGAGACAGGGAGGGTGGGATGTGGTGGACACAGGTGGGATGTGGGGATACTTGATGATCAGAAGGGTGAGAGATGGGGAATATCTAGGAGCAGGAAGGGTGGAATATAGGGAACGCCTGGGGACAGGAAGGGTAGGTTTTACAGGACAGCTGGGAACAGGGATCCTACCCAGGTTGCTTCCTGGATGACAATGGCGTGGAGTTTCCCGTTGGACAGATCTGGTCTCCGGGCGATCCCTGTGAGTTATGCATCTGCCAGGTGAATGAGAACCTGCTCTGCTTCATTCCCTCTTCCCTATCCTTGCCCCAGCGCACGGCTCCTGCTCCATTCCCGCTCTCAGGATGCCCGTGGCCTGTCAGGCCCCAAATCCCCCAAATCCGGCGGGTTTGGGAATCCCGAGGTGTCTGTCAGGGTGTTCCCGCCTGCAGGCAGACGGCTCCGTGAGCTGCCAGCGCACGGATTGTGTGGAGACGTGTCCTTATCCCATCCGCATTCCCGGGCAGTGCTGCCCCGACTGCTCCGCAGGTGAGGGCGCGCCCGGAATTCCGGGATTCTGAGCCGCCCGGGGACCGCCTGAGCCCCTCTCCCCGCAGGCTGCACCTACATGGGGAGGATCTTTTCCAACAACGAGACCTTCCCGTCGGCGCTGGATCCCTGCCTGAGCTGCATCTGCCTGGTGAGGGCTGGGCCGGGCATTCCCAGAGGATTTGCGGCTCCCGCCCCGTGGGCTGAAGCCCGGTTTTTGGCTCCGTTGCAGGGAAAAGCTCCGGGGGCGCTCCGGGGTTCCTAACGCCCGGCCCTCGGGGGTCTCTCCCGTCTCTCGCAGCTGGGCTCGGTGGCCTGCTCGCCTCTGGAATGTGCCATCGTGTGCTCCTACCCCTTCCACCCCGAGGGTCGGTGCTGCCCCGTCTGTGAGGGTACGAGCTCGGGCGGGTTCCCAAAATCCCCCTGAACCCCCCAAAATCTCCCTGAGCCCCCCAAAACCCCCTCTGGACCTTGGTCCCTGCAGACTGCAACTACCAGGGCAGGAAGGTGGAGAACGGCCAGAGCTTCATTCCCGAGGGACAGCCCTGTACCCGCTGCACCTGCCAGGTGAGACCTCCCGCCCTTTCCCATGGGATTCCCGTGTCCATGGTGCCTGTGCCAGTGTCATTCGATCCCAGCAAGGGCTGGGCTGGCTGATCCCTGTTTTTCCAGCTTGGAGAGGTGAGCTGTGAGGAGAGGCCGTGCCCCCGCTCCTGCTCTGAGCCCCACACACTGCCCGTGGGCTGCTGCCCATCCTGCCCAGGTAATGGGATCCCCGGATCCATCCCCAGGCACTCGGATGTGCGCCCTCTGGACTGGGGGTCCTGGGAAAGAGGTGGGTGCTGACCAAAATCCTCCCTCTGTCAGCCACAGACATCCGGCTCCTGCTGCAGGGCAGTGACCTGTCCCCATCCTCATCCCCATCCTCATCCTCATCCCAGTCCCCATCCTCACCCCCATTTTCATCCCAGTCCCCAGTCCCTGAAGATTCACCCCCTGGCACCCCTCAACACCGCCGCTACCGCCTGGCCCAGCTCCTGCTTCCCACCACACTCCCCCTTGGCTCCTCTCCAGGGATTTGGGGTGCTGGGAAGCCCCCTCTGACCACTCCAAGTCCCTCTGGATACCCCTTGGCACCCACTGTGCCCCCTGACCCCCTCTGTGAGGCCACAGCCCCCCCTGATCCCACGGGCAGCCCTGAGGTTCAGGAATCCCCCAGGAACGAGGATCCCTCTGCGGTGCCATCGGACAGCCCCAGGTTCCAGGTGCCAGGTGTACCTGGAATGCCGTGAGGAGGAGAAGGAGGATGAAGGAAAGGAGGAAAAGGGGGTCTGCAGGACCAGCAGGCCTGGCCCTGGGGAGGGAGCAGCTGTCCCCCTGCCACCAATAAAGTCACTCTGGTATTTATTCCCTGTCCCCTTATCCCTGCACCACCAGCACGTGGTGCCCTGGGGCTTGTCCTCTGGGAATTTTGGGATGAGTGGCTTTCCAGGATGATGAGGGCAGTGCTGGAGGTGTTCAGCCCCCTCACCCTGGGTGGGGTTTGGGGACAGGAGGGACATGTTGTGCCCCAGGTCCCCCAGGCTGGGAGCTCCTTAGGGATGAGCAGAGCCACATCCAGGCTCCCATCCTTGGGGCATAGGGACATCCTTGGCTGGTGCAGCTGAGGGTGGCACCAGGGACACACCATATTCCCAGGGATGTGTTGGCCTTTCTCAGAGAGACACGGCACAGGGGCGCTTCTCCACACCTTTATTGTCCTCGGTGGTGGCAGGAGTGCCAGGAAAGGGACAAGCCCTGCCAGCCACCGAGTTGGGGACACCTGGGATTCCCATCCCAGCTCAGGGCAGCCGGGACAGCCCCACCTTGTTGTTGGCCCTGTCGAAGATGACGTAATACTCCCGGATAAAGACATCCCCCAGGATCCAGAGCTCGCCCTCCTCCGTGGGCACATCCATGCCTTGCAATCCCAGGGTGCAGTACCCATTACTCTGCTCCAGGGACATGGAAGGGAGTGGTCACCAGCTGTTGGATCCCTCCCACTATCCCCACAAACCCATTCCCAGTGGGATGCTCACCCTTAACACATAGGCTCTGGGCGGCACTGGGAATTCTTTGCCATTGATATGGAAGATGAGGCTGGGAAGGTTTCTGATGGACTCACAGCTGATCTGGGGAGGACACAGCAGGTTAGTGGCCATTCCAGCTGGGATCAGATGTCCTAGGGAGCATCCTGAGGCCTCACCTCACCACTGGAGCTGGCACCAAGGCGCCTCATGAGGGTCCGGAAGGCCCGGATAGGAACAGCCAACAGAGTGGTTCCTGTATCCACAATGGCCTGGCATCCCGAGGAACAGGCCACCGGAGTCCCGCTGACGGAGACACTGGAAAGAAGGATGCAGAGTGAGCCTGGACTCTCCAAAACACCAGCTGGGGGGCAGGGAATACTGGGAATACCCCTCCATGGAGATCTGCCAGTAGGTTTCAGCAGAGAGTGGGATCCAGGAGATGCCTTTGGTGGTGTAGTAGGGATCAATGGCACCAAAGAGGACAAAGCTCCCACCTTCACTGTCCCTGGAAAGGGAGATCCATCTGGGGTAGTTCCCAGCCCACCAACACCTCCATTCCCATTGGAAAATGGGGCCAGTGTGAGGGAAAAGGGAGAAATCCTCAGCAGCTTTGGCTGGGATTTACCTGCTCAGGTAGACAGAGAAAAGACGCCTATCCACGAGGTTTTCCATCATCATGTTGTCGAAGACAGGAGTGGCTCCAGAGGAGGCAATGCTTGGGAATGCCAATCCCAGGATGCCGTCAAAGGGGGTGTAGTAGAAGAAATCCCCTGGCTCCGTCTCAGCCAGCCCAAAAATCTGGTTGCGGACGTTGATGCCAGCAACCTGGGAGAAAGGAGACAGGTTTGCATTGGGCACGATCCCATGGGATCCCATGGGATGGGGGGGCTGGAGCGCCTGGCCGTACGTTGACGGTGTCGTATCCCAGGACTCCGGTCATGCTTCCCGTGCCGTAGGCGATGAACAGGGTGTCATTGGTGCTGAGGAACGTGGAGGATTCCGCGGGATTGAAGCGGTTGTGGTTCCCTGTGGGGGTGGGAAGGACAGGGATTGCCTGGGATTTGTCCCTTGGGAAAGACTGGGCAGAGCCATGCAGGACTCCCAAAGGACACATTCCAGACTCATTCCAGACACCTACTGCAGGCTGGGCTGGAGCAGAAGACTGAGGGAACCCAGAGGTTGGAGGAACCGGTGTCGAAGACCACGGTGAATTCCTGAGGTGGGGTCCCAATGGAGATGGTGCCAAAGTACTCATCCTGTTGGAATGGGATTGGGAAGGGGTTAAGGGGATGGGGAAAGGAGAATGGATAAGGGGCTAATTGAATAAGTTACAGGGATGGGGAAGGGACTAGTGGAATGGATAACAGGCCAATGGGATGGGGAAGGAGCCAGTGTCCCCCTGTGCTCCCTGATCCCAGTTCCCAATCCCAGCCCCTCACATCCATGTAGTTCTCCAAGGGCTCCACGGCAATGCCCGGGAAATACTTGGCAGCCAGGTTGTAGGGATGCTGCTCCAGGTAACTCTCCAGCAATCCCTGCTCCTGCAGCCTCTGCCGCAGCGACTTCATCTTCCTCAGGGGCACCCTGTGGACAGGGACCGGGATGCATCACTGGGATGTGCCATTGGGATCACCCCGCATCCCACATCCCTGTTTTGGGCTCACCTGGTCTGGAAGCCCTGGGCCAGGCCCACCAGGGCGAGGAGCAGGAGCAGCTTCATGGTGGGAGCTCACGGAAAATGTGCCTCCGATCCCGGCCCCGCTCCTTATATCCTGGCTCCGGTGTTTGGCCGGAGGCCCCGATAAGAAAGGCAAACTGCTCCTGGGATGGTTATCAAAACGTCCTTAAGGAAGGGGGGTAGGAATGTCAAGCTGGGGGATCCCCGTATTCCTGGGGGGATTCAGGCCACAGGTATGTTGGGATGGGCGGGAAGCACTCCGGGTTATTCTGCGGGAGCCGGTGGGAATGCAGGGTTGTTTGTACCCTGAACCCTCTAATTCCTTGCTGGAGGGTTTGAGCCAGACACTTCCAGGAATGGGGCAGCCACAGCTTCCTGGGAATTTCATTCCCAGGAATGACTCACCACACTTGCAAGGAAGAATTTCTTCCCAATATCCCACCTAAACCTGTCCTCTGCTACTAGGAAGCCGGTCCCCCTTGTCCTGTCACTCCAGGTCCTTTTACAAAGTCCCTCTGCAGCTCTCCTGGAGCTCCTTAAAGTGCTGGAAGAGGCTCCAAGGTCTCTCCAGGTCCTTCTCCTTCTCCTCTTGCCAAGGCTCCATGAAGGATTTTCAGGCTGCCAGGTCCAGATTTTCCATGCTGGGAATCAGCCAAGGCTTTCTCCTTTCCAGTCCCCTACAACACATCCCATCCTCCTTTTTTTTTCCCCTCAGGGATAATCCGGTGCTCCGTCCCTTTTCTCCCAACATCCAGGTTCTTCTTCATTTCACTCCCCCAGTTCAACCTAGCATCATACCTTCAGATTCTTCTATCATTCTGAGCCGGGATGGGGCTGAATCCAAGGGAGGAATGCCAGCTCCAGCCTTAGGGAGCCTTTGATCTCCTCCAGGACAAGGTGACCGTTCCAGGAGCCATGGATCCAGCACGTGGTGACGTGACCAAAGCCAAGTTGCCCAATCCCGCTCCTGTGACCTTCATCCAGAGGTATCCAGAGCTTGGCTTTCCCCCAGCTCGTCCCAGTATTCCCCCAGTTCAGGGACTTTGGATGTGGGAATGGAGTGACAGGAGAAGGCTCCAAACTGGAAAACAGGATATTGGGAAGAACCTCTTGCCTGTGAGGCTGGTGAGGCCCTGGAATAGATTTCCCAGAGAAGCTGTTGCTGCCCCATCCCTGTAAGTGTCCAAAGCCAGGCTGGAGAAACCAACCTGGAACGTGTTCCTGTAAATTTTTGAGTTACCAAGATTTCCTCCTTTTTTGGCCAAAATAGTAGAGAAAACAAAAATATGAAGTTTTCTCAGAGCTATTTATCCATTGAATTACCACAACTGCCATCCTTGGGGATCAGGATTCCTGTTTTCTCAATGGAAAAAACCCCACATTTGCCCAATTATGGCAAGTTCTAGGACAAGCTTATTGAGCTGCTGGTAAATCCCAGCAAAGCAGAACAATGGATCCAACAGGGATGGATTTTTGGATGGATGATATCCACAGAAGGAAGAAGCTGTGGAATTCAGGACTGGGAAAAAAAATGGGAATTGAAATTTAGCACTAATTAAATCCAGAACAAAATCTGGGAGGATGGAAAAATAACCCCTTTTAGGGCATGAAATGGCTTCCTGGGAGAGAAATCCTGGATTTTCCCAACCTTGGTGGGGAAATGGAGGGCATGAGATGCTGGATCCTGGAATAATCCATCCCGGCGCTGGGAGCCCTGTGGATGGGAGCAGGTGGCCTCCCTGCCACAGCTTTCCTTGGCACCAGAGGGCACCACAGCATGCAGAGATCCCAAAAACCCCCAGCTGGAAAAATGGATCTGGAAGCTTTCCCTCCTGGCTGTTGCAGCCGGGGCTGGGTGAGGATTCCCAGGCAATAAAACCCTCCCAGAATTTAGGCTTTTACCGGGAAAATTCCGATTTTTTAAATGTCATTTTGATGTGGAAACACCCCTTGGGATGAATTTAACTTCCATGGGAATCACCCTCTGGATCAAACAGGGATTTTCAGGCTTTTGGGACATCAAAACTCGTTCTGACAAAACTTCCTTAATTTTATCTCTGCAGCCTCCCAAAAAATTCCCCTTATGGAGATAGAGCTTTTCTTGGAAGTGGATTCATGAAGTCAACTTTTCCAGGCCCTGTTCCCAGTTTTTCTTGTCCCTTCCCTAAAGGCTTTTATCACACGGGTGCTTTATCGGAGCTGTCAGATGAAAGGAGGGAAATCTGACGCTCCTGAGGTGTCAAATTTCCCAGATTGGATTCAAAATATTTAATTAACTTATCAAGGAAGCCCAGGGATGTTGGCTGATCCTTGTGGGAATGGAATTTTGCAGAACAGGACCTCGGGGTGCTCAGGTCACCTTTTCCTACCTGCTGTGGGTGATTTTGGCTGGGATTAAGACGTCATCCAAGGGAAAAAAACACGCGGAACCATCTTTTGTGGAAATTAAGGATATTAATAAGCAGCTAATGGGAATATCCTTCCAAAACCACCTAAATTTACCCCAAATTTGTTTCTGGATAACACTTTTAAATGGGTATTTTTC